CTGGCTGGCTCGCTGGCTGGCTGGCTGGCTTCCGCCCCTGCCCCTCTGGCCATTATTACAATCGCCGCTCTTGCCACGGCGCCATTCATCCTTCGCAGCCCCGACCCTGGCGTTCAAGCTGGGCTGCTCTTCCGCATCCTCGCCCCCGTTTTTGGGTATTCATGCCACGTCCCTTGGCTCTCTTCCGCCTTTCCCTTGGTCCTGGCGCCCGGCATCCGCATCCGCATCCTCCTCAGCATTCATGCCGTGCCCTGCTCGCCGCTCTCCGCCGCATCGGAGCCCTCGTCTTCCGACCGTGTTGCTCCAATGCCATCCCCATCTCTCTCTGCACGCCAGCCGCCCTGCGTGTGCTCTGCGCCGGCGTCGTCGCTGCAAGCTCTGGGCGTGAGTGAGTGCCTGTGTGCCTGTGTCGGTGTGGATGTGACTGTGCCTCTTGCTTCTTGGCCGCGGTGCGCTCGTGCCTCGACGTTCCCTGCTCTCGGATCTTCTTTGGTCGCTCGTCGTTGGTCGTGCTTGCATGGTTGCCGCCCCGGCAACTTTTGATCGTCCTCCTCTTCATCCTCTCTCGCTACACCTCCCTGCTCCTCTTCTCTCCCCCACCACCACTGCTGCTGCAACGCCGCGATCCATCTTCCTCTTTCCCATATATCCAACCACCCTCCTCCCCCGGCTCGACCCTGATACGACCCGATCCCTTTCTTTCTCCACTCACCGACAACACCGCTCGTTGCCCGCATCCCGACCGCCACCTTTCGTGGGCGCCCGTTGCCAGCTCACCTTCGGTTGCACCCTCCACCGACTTAGATCTACGCCACCATCCTCGCCGCCACCCGCATCACCATCTGCATCACCATCGCATCCATTGCGCCGCGCCATCTGCGTCACACTCGACCTCGTCCCGTGCGAGATCCAACCGCCATTACGGCCGGAACAGCATTTCTCGGCCTCTCAGCTCGCCAAGACGTCTAGGTGTGGCAGCCCGAGCGGCTAGTTGATTGCATGTCGGCGCCACCCCTTTCGACCTAGCCTGCATTGTTCCACTTGCCGCGTGCGCAGCTGCATCCCGCTTGGCGCTGATACCGCGATCCCGTCGCTTGTGCATCGAGCAAAGTCCCCTGTCACCACCTCATCTTGCGCGCGCGCGCGCCGTGGCCGCTGCAGCCGACACCCGCCCGTAGCGCATCGCACCACCTCATATCGCACAGCACCACCGACCACGCTGCCGCGAGCCGCCCCGATCGCACCGTCTCCTGCAACCCACCTCTCTGCATCTCACGCAGCAGTCTCCGATCGGCCCCACATCCCAGTTCGCACAGAAAGGTAAGCTCATATCCTCGGCCTCATCCCGACCCGCCGCAATGAAACGCCGAGGCACAGATGAAGACGCGGAGGTGGCTCGGCTCGCCGAGATGAACCAGGCGGCGTGAGCGCGAGCGCGCGGGCGTGTTTGCGGCCCCCGTGCATCACCACCACCACCTCTCGGCGTCTTGCGCTTCCTGCAAAGGCCACAAGGCTCCGCGCCCGGCTCCCGAACCTCGCGCCCTCGATGCTTCTCCCTCATCAACTTCCGCTATTCCGCCGCTTTTGCGGGTGCTTTTTCAATGTGCCGCACCAGCTGCCGTTCTCTCTTTGTCCTCTCCTTTCCCTCCTGCCCGAAGCTCATCTCCCCACGCTGCATACACGAGCAGCTCAACCTGCTGTCGACTCTCTGCTTCGCGGCGAGTCAGAGTGCTCGGCGTTTCCCGCTCGCCAACTCTCCGCCCACCGCTGCTTGTCGGACCTCCGCACACCGCACGGGTTGCCGTGCTTTCCTTTCGAGACGACCAAGCATGCTCACTCCTACATTCTCGTAACACCACTCCACCTTTTCTTCTCGCCAACAGGACCGCATCTTTCGTCATCGCTCGTCTCGGCGCATCCCAGCAAAGCCCAACTCGCTTCTTGACCGAGCTTCAACTCTGCTCTTCATTCGACCGGTAAGTAGGTTTCGGCAACGTCTTCCTGTCCAGGTTCGAGCTTGTTCGTCGGGCATCCGTCAGCACCCGCAGTCCCTCAGTCCCTCAGCTCCGTCGTCCGTCTCAGCTCTGCACCGGCGAAACATCGGCCAGTTTTGGGCCCTCATCGCTCAAGGTTCTCACGACTTCACCGGCAGGTGGGTCTGCTTCTGTCATCCGACCGCTTCGTGGCCCTCTGCAGTTTGGAGAGGCCATCGCTTCGCCGGGGACTCCAGCTGCGGTCGTTAGAAGCGAGCTTCCCCTCGTCACTCTGCGCACGAACATACACGAGCCCGTACCACTCGACCAACCGAGTAAAGCTTCGTTGCAACTTGCTCCTGTGGTGACGCATTTGGCACCGGGTTCCTACCCTGGTCTGCCCTGTCGCCAGCACAGCGCCAATCAGCTTCGCATGTGTCGAGCAGCATCGGCGCACTGCTGTTACCTCTGCTCGCTCGTCTGGCCGGCCGAATTGGGACGGATGTGTAGCCGTGCAGCCTGGCGGGTCAGTCGCAGCTTCAGTTGACAGCGAAGCGTAGCCGCCATGCTGGGCCCTGACTGATGCGCCAGCGTGTCTCGCTTAGTCGCCTCGACCTGCCCCCGGCTTTCATGCATTTTTGGCGGCGAAAAGTGGAGCAGCGTCGCTTTACTTTTTTTT